GCATTGAATTGATCAACGAGGAGTCCTGCTGGGCAAATCAATTGTTTTCGATCATTTCCCTTACCATGGCCACCCGCGACTATAGTACCTTCTTTTGCGCCTTTTCTCCACCTCATTACGCGATCATTCCAGGTATCTGATACATACACGGATTGATCATTTCCCACAAAAATGTACGTCGGATGATTGAGTTGACTTGGACGTGAACCTTGCCCTTTGCCACCTGCTACTACTGTTTCCTTCCAATCATCCGCATCATAACGTCTCACCTCATGTCTTTTGGTGTCAGAAACATAGAGATTGCCTTCCTTGTCTATTGTCAATCCACCACATTCAATATTTTCAATAATTATTTTTCTACATGTACTTTGCTTTGGAATTTTTTCACAACATTTTTCATTGCCGACGATCTTCTTTCCGCATTTGCATTCTCCTGTCATGTACGAAATTACTCGCAGATTGTGATAATCGCAAATAACAAGACTCCCGGAAGATTTGTGTAAATTTACATCCGACGGTTCACATAAGAAGGGGTCTCCATATCCACTTATATTGCTACCGGCTATTCTAATACCTCTCTTTGCACCTCGATAATATTTCATAATGCGATGATTGGAAGAATCAGCAATGATAAGGTTTTCTTTAGCATCCAGGCGAATAGCTTTGGGAGAATGTAGCCTATCCCAGGTGGAACCCGGACCACGGCCGCCAGCGATAGTGTAAGCATTCGATTTCCATTTGCTATTATGTGCACAATTTGGCACCTCTAGGATAAACAAGAAATAATGCAATCGAGCATTCAGATACGTGTCCCATCGAAAATGAGAGATTTCGTGTAATCGGATTCCTAAGCCACAAACTCTCGTTGAGTAAATAATAAAGTTTAGTTTTGGGAGCTTACATTGGTGTAGTGAAAATTTTTAATCTCACTTCCTAATCAAGTGTCCTTATGGACTCTCAGGCAAACTGGATGCTCTCCATCACTGTTTTGGTTGCTATGTGATCTAGCCTGATCTAGATATAATGTTTTGCCTGTTTATTGAAGCATAAAAGTAACTGTAGTCACCGTACGAAGCAATAATCCATCAAAACGCAACGATATTTCCATCGTTCTTTCACTTATTTTCGACCAAACTGAAGTCATTTCAAGTAATAAGTCGTATACCGCATCTAACCCTGCAGGCAATATAGTTGATAGTGAAAAAACACTGCGTGTAGGTCGACGCCAGCAGTCATACTTCGTATTTTTTTATGACGACATTTTTTTGCATTACGGCTTCGAAGTATTGCTTTTTACTTTAATATTGAAATATACCCGCGTCAGATTTCTAAAAAAGATTCTGAACGAAAGTTCTCAAAATCATTAATTTTGACATGAAACTTTGCCTACATCCAGATTCCAATCATAGTTGCTTCAGTACAAAACTTCAGACTTTTTGGACAGTCGTTGGAAGATATAAATTTTTCAAATTTTAGGCGCTTATCCATTGATATACTGCATAATTTGAAGAACTCATATCTCGCAAAGACTATCCAAAAATTCTGCAATTTTGTAACATGCTTGTCAGAATAGGATCTCGATGCGGACAACATTTAAGGTCAAAATTCGAAATTCTCATTTTTTGAACAATCAAAGTTATCGAGGAGATAATTCATTAAAAATTTCTTGTTTCAGCCAAAACTGAGCAAGCGCTCGAACCGTGGGGAGGTTTTATAGTTCAGCGTTTCCCTACCGCTCGAAAAAATATGAGACTTCCTCGAAATTATCTTTTTAGAAATCAGAAATGGGTACATTTCGATATTAAAGTCATAAAGAGTAGCTCAAAGCAATATTCTTTATGAACAGAAAAGCTTTGACGTGTCCACCGATACAAGAGAAACAAATTAGCTCATTTGATGAAAGGCTGATGGAGATATTCAAAATTTGTATTGTGCAGTAACTTTTGGTACACCCTGCACAAGTAAAGATAATCGATCGCCATTCTCTCTATTTTGTGCTTGG